AGACTACGCTGTTGCCATGCGATCAAAAGAGTGCGTATGGATCCTGCAGGTGATGCTGCCACTTACATAGGTGGACTGCACTCTCCGCCAGTGTCCCAGCCCACAGCAATGCATCAAGATATCAAGTTTTAGGGAGAGGAGGGGGCAGGCCTGTTACTGTAAGCCTCCAGGGGGTGGGTCGCTTAATGACCAGTTCACTAATTGAACCCTCTTGGCCTGTTAAGAGAAGCTCATCAGGGATTCCATGGATGATGAAGTCTCCATACTAGGAAGTCCACAAGTTGTTTAAAGGGTGGTGGGAGTGTGGCGAGGGGGTGTCACCTGGGGAGTTCAGTGTCTGCTTCCTCTTTTTAGACCAGTTCCAGGTGATCCTGTAGGAAGACATTTAGATATCCACCACCAATGTAGCATGAGTCAGTCTGAAGAGCAGCTTGGTGTGAATATGCTCACCTCATCTTTAAAAGAACAGGTGGTTCATCTGTCGCTCTCCATATTTGCCCTTCCATTCCCCCTTTCCTCTTTCAGTCTCTCAGCCTCCCCTGTTGAGAATCCTTCAGCCTGCACTCCAGTTTAAACAACGAGAACAGTCTTCTGCTGAAACTGAATATAATTTTCTATGGTTTCTGTTTTCTGAGTCTCTCAGCGTCACATTAGTCTAGTCAGATCCCATCTATCACTCCATGTCTTGATCCCTCTCTCTTAAGCCCACTATAGGTGTCCAGAGTCAGACAGTTTCAGGTTCAGTGCTCCTCAGTCCTCCTTTTTTTCTCCCCTTAAAGACTCCAGTCATGTAGCTCCTCCTCTTTCTCATCCACTATCTCTCCTTCTTACTGTGCATGCTTTTTCCTTCACCATGGGGTTACTGTCTCTTCAGGGGCATTTCAGCTTACCTGAGTCACTCGTAGCGATTCCGTTGCAGCTGTCTGTGCATGTTTGTTGAGCTGCTGCAGCTAAATTACTGCCTTTCTCTGTTGCCATGCTAGAGCTGGGTAACATTCGCTAGCGCAGGAGAAACACAGCCTGAATTTAAATGCGCCTCTAGTCTGTCAGATTTACAAAGCCTCCTGTCTTGCTCAGCAGCCTCCTATCTCTCATCTCTCTCTCCCTCCTTTCTTATCACACTACAGTATCTGTTCTGTCTTTATTTTGTTCTTCTATCTCATTTTCCTCCTTACTGTTCCTTTGTCCACTCCAAAATCTGCTTTTGTTCCCATTTGATTAATCTTAATTTTTTGTTGCATATTCTATTAAAGGTGCAAAAAGTAATGCGTTACTTATTGACAAACTGAATAAAAGTTGAACATTTTCCAGATAAACAAAAATTAAAGCTGCAAGTGCAGTAAAAGAGCCTTTTCTGAATGAAAGCAATTAAAAACAAAGTTAAACTAGGAAACCACAAGCTTCCAGATAACAATATCTTGCAGTAGCAAGAGGGTAAGGTTTATTATGGTATCACAATGTAAGTTTTTTTTTTAAACAACAAATAAGTACATTTATATAGCATATTTAAGTAGCAAGACAATTCAAAGTGCTGTATATGAGAGGGAAAACATGGGGAACAGTATATTACAAGATTTGAAAAAAATGCAAATAGTATTATCAAAAGAAAGAACGTCGAACTATTTATTTAAATACTGTAGATAGCACAGTCAAAGGCCTAACAAATAGGCATTAATCTGAATTTAATGCAATGGAAGGTTTCAGCACTATGTTGGTTTTCTTATAGTTTTTTTCCCAGATTAGAGGAGCATGAGAACTAAATGCTGCTGCTCCACGTTTGGTTTTGATTCTTGGTATGCAAAGTAGATTAGAGCCATACAGGCTCGAGGTCTGGGTAGTTGATACACTGATATCAATCTGCAATGTATTCCTGCTGAGAGAAACTATTTTAAAGTCTATTCTCTGATATACAAGAGCCAGTGTAATGATTTTAGAACTGGGACGATGTGGACCTCTCTTTTAGTTTCATTCTATGGCCTTCAACGCTCTGGATCTGCAGCAGACAGGAAATGGCAAAAGCACTTAGCCTTTAACAGTGACCTGCAACTGGGCAGCTTGAACTTTTTATTATTTTGTCATAATATCATCTTAATCTTCAAAGTATTCTAATGAGATGTCAATCGAATTGTTTAATGTTGTAGGTAAGATGTCTATTATTGATTGATTGACTTGATTGATCTCACTGGGTAGTATTAAACAGGGAAGTTGGAAACCATAATAAACTTCCATCATCTATATGACAACTGGCATAGGTGTGGGCAAAAAAAGCTTAATTTACACATTACCTTGAAAAAAAGTGGTGCAGGTAGTATGGTATGGGATATTTTAGGAAAAACTTGCTTGTAAAAAAAAATATTAATGTGGTATAATAGCCCAGTCATTGTCAAAATACACTATACAGTAAATACAAAATGATGACAAGATTAAAAAAATCTTTACATCTATTCGTCCAAATTTAGGTTGAGCTAGTTTGAAAGACATGACAATAGTCCAATACTGAAATAGACTGCTGTTTTTGCTGCTATTCAAAGTCTTAGATTTTTTTTCGTCATTATATCAGGCTACTCATAGTGTAAGTTTGCAAGACAATGTTTTTTTCCACCCTTGGTTGTTACAACTCTGTTTTTTTAAACCTCTTGATATGTGTAAATTTGGATGAGTTACTATGGTCTTCTAAATCAGTATGTAGGTTAAATTTATAATCAGAAAGTGTTTCACAATAATAAAAACAAGACTACAAGCCCACTATAAATGCATATACAGTCCCGTTAAAAGCCTATTTACATGAGAGGAAGGGAAAAAAAATAAATAAATAACATGGTTTTAATAATGTGGTTCTTTTCACTTTAATTATTTGTCTTTTGATGTATCAGTTTCTTTCCACTTCTCATTATTCTCACCTGACTTGATCCCTTTTTGTATTTATTTATTTTATTATTATTATTACTATTTATTTTTTTTATTATTTACTTATTTTATTATTTATTTTTTGTTTGTTTTGTTTTTTGTATTCTGTATGTGAGTATATATGTAGGTATATTGGGGTTGGTTCTAGCCCAATTATGTTTATATGTTAAAGGTACATTGTTATCTATATAACTTTTTTTATGTCTTTATATTGTACCACATTGTAAAGCATGAATAAACTTTGGAAGAAAAAAAAAAGCCTATTTACGTAAAAATGTCTTTATTTGTTTCTTAAAAGAGTCAATGTGGTTCATGCAGCACAAGGACAGTGAGAGCGAGTTCAAGAAATTATGTTTTGAAACCTATTTTACTTTCCCTACTTGTGCTAAAATGCATAAACAAAATATTGTAAAAATATTTTGACAAAAATGCTTCACAAAAGAAAGGTTATTATTATATAAGCTTAGCATTACTTGAAAGGAGGGGGTTAATGCAAAACTCCGAAAAGAGTATATGAAAGCTTTATTTGATATTGACAAATAAGTAAAATAGAACCTTTTAATGAGTAGGGAGTGTCTCATTAAGCAAGGTTTGTTCACAGTGCTTTGTTTTCTGCTGTCCATCTTAAGCATTCAGTCTGCAATGTGAAAATGTGTTCTCCATCACACAACCAAGCTGCACTACAAAACAGCCATTCTGTTAAGCTCATGCTGCACTAATGCCTTCTTGCAGATTACAACATGAATTATGGAGAAGCAGGAAGATTATGGCTATAGGGATACTGGGGGAAGTTCCTTTTACCGGTAGTTTTTATGCTCGAAGATGTAAGCCAACCAGATTGGATTCTACACTGTTAGCTGCAACCTCATTGCTGATTATGCCTCACATCATATGTCAGGTCTTGAAACAATATTCACCCTAAATTTCATGGGAATTTGTTTATTATTTCCTCTATTTATGTTGGAAAAAGTCTGCCAGATGTGCTTGTTAACATGCATTAAGATTTCTTTTCTATTGCGTGTTGAAGCTTATCTATAACAGGAACAAACACAATCTGAATAGTGTGTGTTATTCTTTTTAATATGTCCTAAATAAAGAGGTAAAATGACTCTGTTGTCACCGAGAGGTATGCACTGAGACAAAAAAAAAACACAACATCCAAAAAGAAACAAAATCCTAAGACATAAATAAATATATAGACAAGTACCGTAGGAATCTTTAAGCGTTTAAATACTTTTTTCATTGTTTTGTGCATTGTTAAATAATTTTTTCCGCTGGTTTGTTGAATTAAAACCTTGATTCGTTTTCCTCCTACCACCCATGGTTCAGGACTTCTTATCCTTTGTTAGTCCTAAGTTTTTGTGATTTCAACTAAATGTCACTGTGTTAGACTTATCTCACCTCCTCATTATTCAGCTGCAATATTTTTTTTGGAATCTTATTTTGAAAGGGATATATTTACTCTTGTTTTGGTTTAGTTTTTATGCTTTATTAACCTTAGAAATCATGTACACTACTCATTCAAATCAGACTGATATATATCAATATGCTTTTTGAATTTTAATTGTTTTTCACCATAAATATTCCTCAGAGGGTTTTAGCCATTTTAAGCAAAGAGGGCCTTTGAGGCACCCGCACTTATTTAGTTTGTATTGCGTTAAATAACATTCACATAGTGGTTATTCTAAACCCATACAAATGCATTTTTGAAAACATTGTAATACTCTTTTTGTGTGTTAACAGATGCAAGTAGTACATTTGTGAAAAATGTGCATGATTTTCTGCAGGGGGGAGCTATAAATTCAAAATAGACCTATACCAAAAAAACAAACAAAAAAAAAAACAATCAAACATATACTAAGTTTTCAAACCAGTGTATTTTTATGAATGCCAACAACAAAAAACATTATAAAAACAATTTATAAAAACAAAACATCATTTCATGTACAGGTTTGCTTATTGTACATACATTTTAAAAAATGAAAAGAACTTTACTCGTCATTAAAGATTAAATGTTTATCTTGCACATCTAAAAAATGCATATCAATATATTTTTAAAAAATGTAATTTTATAATTTAATGTCAGTGTTTTCTTTTTTTTTATGTCAAAGTCATTGGGTGGGTGGGGCAGCGCCATAGCGCCCTCTATTGGCCAGCCACCACTGCTGCGGAACCAAATGCCTTCAGTAGGGATTTAGCTCACCAAAAGCACAGAGGCCTCTGAGATTTGTTAGAGAACTTAAGTGAACTATAATAACCACCAAGAACAGCTTTTTTAACCTGACTGAAGATTTAGTTGTGAAGAAATTCAAAGCTAATTTAAAAGCACTAAGTTATGTTCCTAGTTTACCACAGGACACAGGGAACACAACAAGCACATAAAGGAAGGTGCTTCGGTTAGATGGCGCCTAAATGGAAGTCAATAGACTACATACAAAACAGTCATTGTTTTGGAAAAGTACAGCACCCCCATATGTGACCTGAACCCAATAACCTAATATTTTAGAAGAATTGTCATATTTTCAGTCTAGACTTTTGATTTAGGCTTGATAGGATTTGATTCAATGTAACCAAATATGAAAAGGGGTATTAGTACTCTCTCAAAGAATGGAATAGTTTTATAGAAAAGCAGAACATGTTTTTGATACATCATTTAAGTATAAACACTCCATTTAAACAGTTATACACATCTTTAGAGAACTACAGTAAGTGCAGAAACAGCATTTCACTAGGACTCTCTGGTGCTGCTCTTTAACACCAAACATCCACAAATAAAAGGGTCCCTTCATTGCTCTTCTTTAGAACATGGTTGGCCTTTTAAATATCTTTAGCTTGGTCATCCATGTGAAGTAGATATAAGATAAACTGACTAAAACATTTTTGAGAGGATAAAAAACAGGGGTTACAAAACCAAACACTGCAATCAGTGCAACCCGAAGGATGAAGAAAGGAAAATCCTGCAGTATAACTCCAGCAAATGACAGCAAGGAGCTGTGTGGAGAAATGACCATCCGGAGAGATGAAAGGAAAGCCAGGATGTAGATTGGAAACACCCAAGCTGAGTGGAAAACTAAGGGCTCCCCCGCAACTCGTACCATCTCCACAGTGTCCAGCCAGAACAAGAAACTCTCCACAAACACCTCTGACCTTCCATCTTTCTTCCAAAGGAAGCTTAGAGGACCTGAGTAAGACACAGGACGTGGAGTAGAAGAGTATAGGTAGGCAGTGGTTGGCCGCGTGCTGTAAGGAGACTCTGTAACATCCAGCCTCCTGTTGATTGTGCTGCCATTTCTGGTGTGTGCCTGATCTGGGATCACACCATTCTGGCCTTCATCCGCTGGCAGCTGGCCTGAAACACTGGTCACCTGTTTTAGATGGGTCAGAACAGGCCTTGATGTGTCAAAGTCTAAATCAATGATGTTAGCTGCAAAAGATAAGACATAATTTTATGCAACAACCCAAACATACTTAATTTATGTTAAATTTACATTCAGTGGTAAGTTTGCAATTTTCAATGTTTTAACAAGTGGTACAAAGCATACTATTTTTGATCTGAAAACAGTCAATAGATTTAAATACATAAAAAGATCATCTTCCAAGTTTAGACCTTACCTTTACCTAAGAGCCTGTAAGGTCGTATCCTCTCTATGATATCCACACAAATCATGGAGAAGAGAACCAAGGAAACAGGCAGCTCTGTGAAATTATCAAGCTTTTGTCCTTTGTCCAGCTGGACCTGTAGTTTAATGACAGCAGGTAATTGACATGGTTTTCATCGGAATTGCTCAGCATTTTTCAGAGGTGATTTCACTAAAGAAAAACATTTTCATGTCTTTATTGAATTCTGCTGGAGCAGATTTAAATGTAAAGCAATTAATCTTTAATCAGACTCTGGTTTTCTGATTTGTTTAAAGTAATGTTGAAAATAACATTTACTAAGCTGTTTTTAAAGCCAAATAAAGCAGAAGTAAAATGCCCTCTTGATGAGTTTAACCCCATATCACTTGTGGAAGCAGACATTTTGGCCACTTTAAAAAACTCTGTAAGATGTTATTGAAGTTTGCAGAAATTTGCTTTCAACCAATTATTCCAAGGTTTTATCAAAGTATTTAAATCAGGTTGTGGTGTGGACGTTGATGAGCCCTTGGTAAATCTACAACCGAATAGAATAGAATTTTAATGATCTCACAGTTGAGAAACTCATTTGTGACATTGGCTCTTATAAACAAACAGAAGGTGCACAAAGCTGCACAAAGGATGAAAAGGTGCATGGAGTGTATAGTTTGCATCCAGATATATACAGTAGGTGGTAAAAAGAGAGTGGCAGTAACATTTTGTGTTACAAAGTGTTTGTCCTGTTCATAACCTAATTTAAGCCAATCCTTTGATCAGGCCAAGAGAGACACTGTAGAATCTCTTGGTGAAGAGCAAAATTAATGGATGATTTAATTAGATCAAATCACCACTATGTCTGGTAGTTAGCAGGATATTTATCTGTCCATATGCCTTATGAGAAATTTGTATTTGTCTAATGTAGTATTGATTTTTGGACATAGTGTGGAAACAAATTGGAGACACTCTCTTGGTAGTGCAAATTGTTGCAGTTAAGAAATCAGTCAATTCCTCTAAGTATTTGTAACCAGGGCAGTCAAGGGGTTAACTCAGTAGAACTAAAAAGTTGAAAATCACAAGGGTGGAAAAAGAAGTTAAACTAAAACTTCTCATTATATCTTTTTTACAGGCTTGGTAGGACGAGTGTTTCAATTCTAGGTTTTATTAGAGTCAGCTACACCATCATTACAGATAAGCTGTTGACCAAACTTTAACTAAGGTTGAGAACAACTATGATGTACAAAAAACGCTTGCATGCCAGTACACTTAAATATGATGGGGTTTTTACAGTCTGAGATCAATATAACAAAGAAAATTGTTGGTAATGACCATTTTTTGTCTTCTTTGTTTATCCATCACAGTGTGCTATTAAAGTTTGGGTTAATAAAAAACCAGTTTCTTTACTATCCGTTACTGAGTATCTAACATAGACTGCACTGTCTCGTGACATTCACAACCTTGTTTGTAGCTGTAACAGTGCCAAAGTCCTGTTTGATACCAAGACAAGAAAAACAAGTATATCTGCATTTAAGAGTGAAATCTAAATCCATTCTCAGTTCCTATTGTATAGATTTCAGGTGCAAATCAGTATCAGTCCACATTAAGCCAACAGCTATAATTACTTGTAACATTTTAAAGGTGGAATACACATCAGGGGATCCATTGTGCTTAGTGCGTTTAAACTTACTAATGGGCCATTGTGCTGGTACAGGGATTCAGTTTAATCACAGAAATAAAATAGGTTGTTAACACAATGGGGATAGAGCACCATGGCTGCCGTGGACTGTCATGCAATGAGCTTCTATCCTTCTCTGCCAGGACACTGAAAAAGACCTATATTTTTATTACTGAGATTGTATTTTTATTGTACTCAAGACTTTAACAATTTAGAAATTCATGAATAAAATCACTTTGCAAAAAAAAACTGTAAAAACAAATTGTTTAGTAGCAGTAGAGTAAATCATGCCAATGTGAGGAGAGAACAGATGTCATTGTGCCATATTGATCATAAACTGCTATGAGTCATTACAGCGCCACAAGATTATTATTATTTTTTTTTATAAAGAGAAATTGTCCTGTGGGTTTGCACCCTGAACGGCCTATTAGGAGAAAACATTATCCTATTCAGGAACCCAACTGGAGCATGACAGAACAAAACTTTAACAGGTACATCTCTGACACAGCAGAGATCAGTCTTGATGGCATTACCTTAGAGCTCGCTATTAAGATTCCAAAACATGGCAGTGTTGACAGAAGGAGATAGGCCAGTGCAGTCGGTCTCCTGGAAAGTGAATACAATTAATCTTGTTAGGGTTATTGAAATAATATGATTCTTATTTCATTTATGTACTGCATTCTGGTCATTATCAGAGTAAGAAAGTTCTCGGTTTTGATAAACATAAGTACATTCAACATACAAGAATCTGTACCTTCAGTTTTTTTGTAGGGTAACGAAGGCTGTGTTTTACCTTCTGACCACTTGGGTTTTACTTTTTTTTTTATGGGCAATATGGTAAATAAATGCTAAATGTATGCAATACTGACCACAGATGAATGGATGTAGTCCAGATAATTCACTGCATATTTTTGGAGTTTTGGAGGACGACAGTTATGATTTACTTTTGCCCATTTAGGGATAATAAATTGGAAACTTCTCATTTGGTGATAAGATATTGTTCAGTAAACTAACCCTGGGTCTGTATGACAGCTATGTCTGTCTGTGCATGCTTTGGAAAGTTAATATTTTCCCCCAAAATCAGTAAATGAAAACAAAAACCTTGTATATTAATAGATTTTTGGTAAGTTTTACACCTAAATAAAAACTTTTTTTCTAGAATCAAAAACGGTAAGTATTTATTTATGTCTTCCTTTTTAAGCATTTAGGGGGTCTGCTGTATTTCCAAGTCCTGAGATTATGGTGTATGTCCAATACATTTACTCATCATCTTCCGCCTATCTAGGGCCAGGCTGCTGATGAAGCAGAGACTCCTAGACTTTCCTCTCCCCAGGCACACCCTCCCCCTTTGCTCAAAGTCTGAGGCATTCCAATGCCAGCTGAGAGAGATAGCCTTTACAGCAGAGGTCACCGATTAGTGGACCCCGGTCCGGATCCAGACCCACCTGCTGGCTAATCTGGTTGGACAATTACCTGGATTCTACTCTCCAGGACTTTCCCAGGAGGCTAAGAAGTGTGACCCCTCTATAGTTGGAACAGACCCTCCAGTCCCACTTCTTATACAGGGAAACCACTACCCCAGTTCACCAGTCCAGGAGCACTGTCCCCTGACCATGAAGCAATGTTGTAGAGCAATGTCAGCTACGACTGCCCAGCAACATTCAGAGACCTAATGTATTCAGAGTGGATCTTATCCATCCCTGAAATTTTTCCACAATTGAGTTTTCTGACCACATTGGTGAGTTTGCCCTGGGTGATGAACAAGTCCAACCTGAGCACTCAATTTCTGCTTCAGGCATGGAAGGCATGTCAGCCGGGTTAAGGAGATTCTCAAAGTATTTCTTCCACTGTCCAACAATTTACTTGGTCAAGTTTCAGTAGTTACATGTCCCACTAAAAACATTTTTAGCAAAGCACTGTTTCCCCCTCCAGAGGCACCAAATGGTTTGCCAGGACCGCTTTGGGGCTAGCCAATAGTATTTCTCCATGGTCTTTCCAAACACTTCCCAGGCCACAGTTTTTGCCTCTGCAAACAGTATCTGTTTCCTGCCTCAGGAGTCCCACAAGACAACCAGGCTAATTAAGACTCAATCTTCAGCTTGAAAGCATCCCTCAATGCAGGTATAATCCCAGACCTTATGGACAGAACAAAGAGTGGCCACATTGAAAACAGAGGCAAGAAAATGGTCCTCTCAGACTCCATGTCCCCAGACTTCCCCAGAATCAAAGAGAAACACTACCAGAGAAGGGAGTTGAATATGTCCCTGAGGGAGGGTTGTGAGATATGTTCCCGGCATACCCTCACTACTCATATTGGCCTGCTGAGTATGTTCAGTTTCCTCTTCAGCCAGGGAATCTATCGCACCAGGTGGGGTTCCGGTGGAAAGTTCTGCCCTTCACTTCGCCCAAGTGTCCAACACATGGAAATTCAACTACGAATTCAATCATTGACCTACGGCCAAGGGTGTCCTGGCGCCTGAGGAGGGACAAGCCGACCTACCCCAGCCCTCCCCTTCTCCCCGCAGGCCACTCCAGAGTAGCAGGGTTCCTAGCCTCTCTGAAGGAGCTAGCTCCAGAGGCCAGTCTTTGCATGGAGGTGAACCCATTTCTAGCCAGAATCACTCCACCTCCTGCACAAGCTCTGGCTCCTTCCTCCTCCAGCAAGGTGACATTTCACATCCCCAGAGCCAGCTTAAGTGTCCGTAAATCAGGTCACTGTGGCCTCTGCTTCATTCCCGTGCAGGTGGTGGATCAACTGGCGGATGACCTTGTGTGGCTCCTTCAGACTTGCCTGAGCTCCAGGGTAGGGTCTCAGCTGTTCTTGGTCATCATTAGGGCTTTGTGAAGTTCTTTTTGTCTGATCCATCACCCATAGCCTGTTTGGCTTGGGTGACCCCACTAGGGGCATTTAAGCCCATGATAACATAACCTCTGGTATCTTCCAAGCACTGAGAACCCTCCACCACTTTAAGGTGGCATTTGTCTATCTAATAAAGTTGAAAAAAAGAAAAACTAGAAAAAAAACTATAATTCCTAACAGGTGTATGTGCATTATAACAGATATCTCTTATATCCTACTTAGCTCAACTGAATTTACAAATTACGAGACTTCAGAAGGCATTGGTACCACCAGATTTTATATAAGAACATCAGATAAAAGGGGTTCAAAAACAAATGTATGCTGTTGTATTTTCTTTTTTTAATATGCAAAAACTAAATCAAATTCAAATTTTACTTTCACATCATTCTTTATATAGCATCTTAATTCTGACCTTTTTCTAAATCATTTTTCAAGTGTTAAGATTTGTGTATAACTCACCATTCTGTAATCTCTGAGATGAATCTCCGCTTCTTAAGGGTCACGTATTTTAGAGGAACCCACACCAGTAGGGTCCCAGAGGTCACATAGGCCATAGAGACTGCAACCACAAGCCAGTAAGAGGTCACACTTTCACCTGCCATATCGCTTATTAGGCTAGCAAATCTCTCCATGATTACAAAGATAGGGATGATGAGAGCTGCATATTGCAGCAGCTCGTACACAATGAGCTTGACCGTCTTGCCTGAGGGCATGGTTCCTGAACACTGGCGACTGCTTTAAAACTGGAGCTAAAGACTTTGACAATCATCTGCTTCAGAATGAGTCTGTGGGGCTGTTGAACTCTGGACATTGCTTACTCTGCACTAAAGACTGCATAGTTTTACTGCCAATCGACTGAGCAATTCAAACTTATGTTTTTATACCTACTGAGACAGAAGCAATATTCATTCTATAACTTGGCAGAGAAAATAGCCAGTGCCTAAATTATACAAAGATCCTATAAAAAGGATAGTTATACTGAAAGCAAGCAAATTGCAACAGACTAACATAAATAAATGATAGTTTTGAATTTTCTTTTTTGTACAACAGAATTAAAATATTTCCTAAAATAAGCTTTGTCTTTCACATGCATTTATGTCAGCACCTAAAAACAAGTCTCCATCTAGTGGCAAAGGATAGGTAGTTCTTACTGTTGGGGGGGAAAAAAAAAAAAAAAAAAAAGAGTAGTTGAACAAAATGAAAGAAACTCAAATATTTAAAGTTAGATTCATTTCTAAAATGCAGGTGGTGTTAGTAGGCAACATATATCAAAACTTCAACCAAGGATTTCCTTCATGATGTCATTATTTCAAAGCCCCAGTCCCTCTGTGGTTTAAATATCAACGCAAATAAAGCCACACAACTTACTCTATACACTTGGCCTGGCTTTATTGTGAATACCAATTATTAGGCATGGTTAAAACATAGAAACAGCAGAGTACAACTTTGGACAGAACCTTTATGAGAACCTTGGATAAAAAAAAAACAAAACAAAACAAAAAAAAAAAAACACAGGCAGCATTTCAATCCTGTACAAGAAAAAAAAAAGTTACATCAGAGTTGCAGCCCAACGCTGCGGTGCAATAAGATGCTCCATTTAGATGATGACAATATACAGAAAACTGCAAGGTTTAACAGAGTAGATTCTCTTCCATTAAACTAAAGGCAACAAAAATAATAACTAACTTATTTTATCTCAACTACATTTAAATTAAATTATCATTAAACAAAGTCTAAGTACTAAGCCTAAAGTAAAATTTGCCTTGCATTCTTTAGTTGGCAAGTAGCAAGGCTCGACCTATAACAAAGAGAAAGCTAAATGAGAAGTTTTTCACCGTAGTACTGAAACCTTTTCCCAATTCTAGAGTTTAGTTTAGCATTTGTACTTCAAATTTCCTTCAAAAAGCATGATTTAATAAAATACACAGACATATTTATTTCATAAGTCAAATTTTTCAAACACTGAATCCTTCTCAAAGACTTGCTACATGTAGAAGCCATATAAATTATTTAGGATTAATACACTAAATGCATAATTTCATGTTGGGTGAGAGATAGCAAACTAAACATCATCTTAAACTAATGCCTCTTTATAAAATAAAACTTCCCTCAGTGTTAACACAAGTCTAAGAAATGACAGACACCTCTGGGGCTCAAGTTCAGTCAGTACTAATGTAACCATTAAACCTACAGTACAATAAAATACAAATTTCAAGGTTTTATCTGAAATATACATTGTAGTTGGGCAGAATATCACACATCCAACTCTTTTCTTGAATACATACATCCTGCAATACTTCATCAAAAATATAGCAATAATTAATCATAAATTAGAATGTACTACAATAAAAAAAAATCAATAGCAATAGAGATGCTTTAAAATAAAAGTAAAACAAAAAATCTATGGGGCTCAGAGCTTTCCCCTTGTAACCACATCAGAGGTGCATACTTGTTGGCACAGCCCTGAAAGAGGTAAGGTGGCTGGTATCCCCTTAAAAAAGGATACAGAACTATTTGTGTCAGAAGGGAAATCAGGCATGTAGGGATAGTTATAGGTCTTTCATTCACCAGGGCTATGTGGAAACCAGAAATCAGTTTTAGAGAAAACAACAAGAACTGAACCAACATATATCCAACCTCGAGGGGGTTACTTCAGTACAGTATATACATGTGTCAGGTGCATGCTTCTGCTCCTTTTGTTTCTTTTCCCTACAGAAAATCAAAGAGGCTTCAGGTTTCAGTAAAAGTTGATGACACTTGTAAAATATTGAGAGGAGAACAATATTTTCAGTTTAGTGTTTTGCTTTAAATAAAGAAATAGCAAAAAAGAAAAACATGACTGTAACTAGTTGTAGTGGAGGAGCTTATTGTGGCACAACAAAGTCTTCAATCTTAGTGTTTTAAAGACCTCAGAGGTAGGCCTTTAAATAGCAACATGAAACAGCTATGGATATCACGCATCATTTGAATTACCTTAATTTAATTGCACTGATATAGCTACAGTTACACTTGGTTACTTGGTAAAATGTTTTTGTTTCTAAGAACCGGACATTTTTAAAGAAAAATTTGAGACAAGTTCTAATAATTATTTATAGGAGCATCCCAGTAATATATTTGAAGCGTTCATTTATTCAGTAATTTTGATAATTACGGCTTTCAGCTAAACTTAAACTCAGACTTTGTTTCATCAAAAAGAATATTAAATAATGCCCCTAGAAGAAAGAAATAGTAGATTTTGGCTATCCAATGACGTACATAAACACAAAGAACATTTCTACAACTAAGGCATTTTTTAGCAGTCTCAACAAGGATGGTCTAATGGCTAAACGTGTGAATCACAGCTAAAATCAAGGCGAAATATGTTTAAAAATGCTTTACTTTACATTTCATTTTGAATTAGGTTTTAGCTATATTTTTTTAATGACCAAAGTCTTATTTTCTAATTAGCTGTAAGCCATAATCTTCAAAATACAGATATAAATGCTCAAAAGCCTCTTCTTCTGTGTATATACTGTAGATTCAATGTAATTTTCTTCTTTTCAGCTGAATTACTGAATCTGATCAAATTTTTATATGCACACATAGTAAGAAATGTTTAAATTAAAAATAAAATGTGCACAAAAATTTCTATTGTTCTCTGTTTATAAATTTCTAGAAGACCGTTTTAAAACGTCTATATAGTTTTTGAAAAAAATCTAAAGAAACTAACAATTGTTAAATATGTAAATGTAATATTTTTTTCATATTTGAAGTGTAAGTTTTTTGTGGCCAGATTTAGATTAGGAGCTTAGACACAAATCATGACAAAAACACAAATCTGTCGAACCAAAATTGTTCCAACATCTGAGTAGTTAAGAATGTGCAAATATGATATTAAATGGATTTTCACATATGGATTCACCAAATAAAACACAAGGTGCACCAAATGCCAGTGTTTGCCTGATGTTACATTTTTTTAAAACTGTTGTTGCTCTTTAATGGGAACAACAATGAACTATTTCTTACAATGGATTAACCATATGTTGTTTGTCCTATCTGTAAGAAGGCCCTATAGCAGGGCTTTCTCAGAGTAAGGAGCCTGATGGACGTCTGAGGGAGGTGCTAAGCTTGTGCCGGATGGGTTGCTGTAGTTTGCCGTCTGCGACATGCTGGCAGGTGCTGAGCATGGTGCAGGGCCTGCCGTGCTTGCTGGATTTGGGTAGGACTGAACATCTGCTGGAGCCATAGTGCCAGGGGCTGCAGAGTAAACCGGTGGCTGGCCCATGTACATGTGGACATCGCTGTGTTGAGAGTAAGGAATGAGAAAACATAAGCATGGAGTTGGATATTCAGCCTATCCTACTTTTTATTTAATTTCACCACATAAGAGGATCAAATTACAAAACTGTAACAGAATGTTAACTTTTTTATATTTTGCTTTGCACATCTTGGGCTTTAAATGACCAAGCTAATGAATACATCTATGATTTATTGGTCTATTATGTGCATTGTACTACTGGCTTCAACAAAAGGATTATAATTTGCAGAACGACCAGAATAATAAGAATTGTGTTATTCTCATGGTCCATTTAGCTTATCAAATGCATTTACATTTAATCTGATAATGTTGTGTCTCCTCCAAACTGCACCTTCCCCCTGTGTTAGTGTTTGTAGCCATTGGGAATATTACACCCCCCAGCAAGAAAAGTTGATCAATCAGGTTAGTGGTATTCTAGTCATTCTAATTTAAAATTCCTTGATTATTCTGAAGAGGTTTAAATTCAACAGGAATATAGACAAGAAACAAAAGATTTTGTCCATTTAGGATCTAGCAAAAATAAGCACAATAAGGCAAAGGGCAAGAAGCAAAGTTTAGGAATCTAAAATCATTTGAAGGAGACTGATAAAATGTATTTTAGATTAAGCTAATATGCTATGGTATGTCAAGAAATAGATTTATGTTTCAGCAACTAACCTTGGAGCTGGCTGACCAGGAATGTGAGCACCAGCTGGAAGTTGCTCCACAGGGACCGTATATCCTTGCACCCCAGTACTGCTCATGGAGTAAGAGCCTGACACAGGCTGACCGGGGTAGACCTGAAGACAAACACATAAACGCATTCTAGTCTTGCCATATGTAGTGAGGACCATGAGTAGACTTCCATTGGCTGCCATGAATTTTCATCATTTTCAACCCTTTGTGTATCCCAACCATGATAATAACTTTAAACCTAATCATGATCAGTGCATACCTTATCCTAACCTTAACTCAGTTTGCACTATAACTCAAAAAACAACCGTTAACTAAACAGGAAGTAATGCCCCCACTTTGGTACAAACTGTTCTCTATTTGATGGTGACAGGAGCACACACTCACACAAAAAAAGTAAATCGCATTGCAATATACTAACAAAAGAAGCAAAATTCACTGTGAATTGAGTTAGAGGTTGACAGTTATCATTACTTGTTTGGAATTAAAAAAAAAAAGATTCCATCGTTTTAATTTCAGCACAAGTTATGTAGACTGACATATTGCAAGCAGAGAGAAAAACTCAAACATATTTACAGCACTTAAAAACAAACAACCATATTTCCAAACACATCAAAGTCCAAACATGAACTGTACCTGCTGCGCTGCATTAGCAGGCTGTTGCATGTAGTACTGCTGGCTCTGCAGCTTGGCATACATGGCATATACTGGATCTTCATTCATCAGCTTTGCGTAGAGAGACAATGCCTCCATCACCTTCACATTTAGCTCTGACAGCTCAGAGTGCTTCCTAGTGACGCACACCAAAAGATTAAAAGTTTGGAAACCTCTGAGCAAGTATTCAAGCAGCTACTGCACTCAATGTTTAGCTTCAAACAGTCACTCTTAATTATTTAAGGAAATGTTACATTCTTTATCTATTTACAGTTTGCAGATATTTTAGAAAGGATGATCTGTGTTGGATTGGCAACCTATTCAGGGTGTACCCCACACTGCAAAAAGCATTTTCTTGAAATGAAAAGGTAAATGAGACATTTTGCCAATGGAAAAAGACAATTTACATTTGAAATAATAAGAAAGAAAAAAATCAACTGAAGTTTATTATTTCAAGTGCATAATATCTATCTTTTTAAGAGTGAAAATACTCATTATCATCTTATTTACTGACTCAAATTAAGGGTAAATATACTAATTTTGAGAAATGTTTACTCATTTCTAAAGCATTTTTGCAGTGTGTTTTTTACTCAAAGACTGTTGGAGATAGGCATCAGCCCCCATTGACCCTAATGGATAAATGGCAGATGATGGGTAGGCGGGGGTTTAAAAAGTAATACCGTATTTTCACGACTATAAGGCGCACTTAAACGTCTTTTTTTCCCCTCAAAATGTGCAGTGCGCCCTTTGGTGCGCTGC